AAATCACTTAACCTCCTTTTCTGGCCAGATTCATGCCTCTAAACCATTCCATAAGAAATTCTGGGGTCGTCAATTTTAGAACCCTACCATATTTTCACTTTCTTGTTACCTCTCTGTGGCTTTGGATGCTGATGCAAGTTCTGGCTTTTTCTTACAGGCAGTTTTGTTGTTGATTCTTTAATTCAGTGGATTTTGGCCATACTTCTATACTTGATCTTAGCCAAAAGGCTGAAAAGCAATGGCCATACTTCTGAGAGCCTACCTTATTCTAGCCATCAGCTCCCACCTAAGTAGGCAGACTGGGCAGAGCCTAGGGAACCTGGAGGTGAGAACTGCTAAGTGAGAATGGATCTCCTGGAAAGACAATGTACTTACCCAAACAAAATCCAAGGAGAAGATTCTGTTGGTCAGAAATAAGTCTAAGGCTAGGAAGCCCCCTGTAAACCAGGCTGGAAAATCAAAGATAGATTTATATTTGGGTAATGGGAGTGGGGTGGTGTGGTAGTTGGGTGGGGAGACAGTTTCAGGAACCAGGCTGATTAGATTCAGTGTTTGGGTCTGATTTGGAAAGATCACATTAAAAAGTAGAGTCAAGTTGTATTTCCTAGAGGGTCAGACCTAATGCAGCCAAACAAGCCGATTACATCAGAGCTATCTTTTATTCATATTAATCCACCAGTGGTTCATTGCAATCCTGCTTTTAGTGGAGAGAAGCACCAGGTGTCTCCTGCCACTGTTACAGTAGAAGAGTTAAAAGAGTTTTTCTTTAGGCCAGATTCACTATGGCCAGTTGCCAATCTCGAGCTAGCTGTTAGATGTATCAGGCAACTTCAGGAGCTACTACCTTTTTGCTGGAAAATTCCCTTCACTCTGAGAAAATTATAAAACAACTTTCAGCCATTTGTGAACACAACGTTTAGTTTCATAGACTTGTCTCTGCTGCTAAAGTACTTGTCACCCTTAGGTACCTTGTTTGCCACAGTTGCCTGCCTCTCTGCCTCTCCCCCACCACAAATGTATGTTGAGGTTATGGAGCCAGAACCTGAAGGAAGTTACTTAAGCATGACTAAGAAGAAAATTGGTGTCTAAGTTAATTGTGAGTCAGTTTAGGATTTTTGGAATGATTCAAACAAGTAGAATCAGGGAGACAATCAGCCTTGGTGTAGTTAGATTCTCACAGCTGTTGTCCTCCTTTTCTGAATTACCTATTTTGTCTCATCCTGGGATATCATGATAAAATATCATGCGACTTCATTATGGGGTGGGGATGGTAGATGGAGACTGAATGGTAGGTATCTCACACTTCTGTAGTCTGGAATTTCCTGAAGTGTTAGAAGTGCCCAATAAACTTGGAAACTGTAAAATCTTTGTGTGCTATTATAAAGATGAAAATTATGAAACATTTTAAATTAGAAAATTTGGATGGACAAAAAGAATAGAAATTGCACAGACCTGCCAAAGATTTTTTTTCTCTAAAGATAATTTAAAAATTGCAAAAGTTTAGGATAATTTTAAAGCCTTCTTTAAATTTTTTAAAATTATGGAGTCACTTTTCAAATTCAGAAAGTAGGTACGTGATCAGAAGAGTTTTCAATAGCTGTATAATTTAGCTACTTCTGTCATTGGAATCACCAGCAAAGCAATTAAATTAAGCAGGAACTTTGGAAGGTAAAAGTTAACCTTAGGGGTGCCTAGGTGGCTCAGTTTGTTAAGCGACTGCCTTTGGCTCAGGTCATGATCCCAGGGTCTTGGGATCAAGCCCGTCGGGCTCCCTGCTCAGCAGGGAGCCTGCTTCTCCCTCTCCCTCTTCCTGCCGCTCCCCCTGCTTGTGCTCTCTATCTCTCTGTCAAATAAATAAATAAAATCTTTTAAAAAATTAAAAAATAAAATAAAAGCTAACCTTAGTTATTTTATATAGCTTAGCTATTTTAGATAGGTTTTTCTGTACAATGAAAAGATATTTGATTAGGAAAGATAAATGTCCAGATTGGAATTTAGAAATGCAGATTCATTAAATTTGATTTTATTTTAGAGGCTAAGTAGGAAACAGCTACTTTGTTATTGTGAAGAAGCTATTATGTTTAAATATTCCTCTTAGATTTTTACTATCCAGAAGACTCAGTATGGTGGGAGATGGTGGTGGGAGATTTCTCCCTCACAAAGAGCATCCTAATGGAGATGTATGACTGTGCCATTGCTATTGCTAATGTGAATATTTGCCTCAAAATTTAAGCCTGTGGCTCTAGAAACTGCTATAAATACTCTAAAATAATAATATTGTGAGTATTTATGTATTATTTTAAGGTATTTTTTTGTTTCTATTCTATGTATACTAGAAAAATGACATAATTTGCATAATTGTGGTAATTGGCTAAAGCTGTTGAAATGTGAGGTTTCTAAAGTCAATAAGAAGAGCAAAATGGATGTGATCATTTGTGGCATTCTTGGTTTGAAATAGTTTTGATGTAATATTATCATTTCATATGTTTAAATGGTTTTAATGTTGTCACTATAATGGCACCTAATTAATACATTCACACAATATGTAAAAATGCACTCAGTGCCACAAATTCTCCTGCTGCTACATTTATTTATAGCAATGTACACTGCTTAATGTGTGCTTTTATTTGAAAAGCATTTTTATACATGTTGCCATTTGCACTTCCTCTTTGAGTGTAGCCGAAATCTTGCACCACCATTCAGTATGAGAGATCATCAAAGCAATTAGCTTAGAAGTACTCCATTTACCAAAGGATTAAAACCATTTTTGAAAATTATGGGTAAGATGGTTTAGAGATTATCTTAGGTCAGGTTCTGTAGAAGCAAAGCTGAGACAGGAATTGTAAGAACAAGTGATTTGTTGGGCAACGCTCTCAGGAGAAGGATGTTAAGGGAAGAAAGAAAGAGGAGGGGAAAATGGCTCTGCATGGAGGTGATCTCAGTGGAAATGGGTTGCCGTTTGCCCCCACAGTGAAACTCTAGAGCATGAATGGTATCGCAGAGTTGGTTCCATCATGAGGCAAGTGGGTTGGCCTTCTGTTCCCCCATGTCAGCCAAACATTGGTTGCAGCTGCCCTCAAAAACGGGTAGGACAGAAGCCTCCTGGGTGAGGCAGTTCCCATTCGGTCCGGGGCAATTCTCCAGAGAAGGGAGGTGCATCTGTGTATTATCAGCATCTTGGTGATGGGACTTCTAGCTAATAAGGGAGATCTGGCATGGTACCAACAGCATCCACTGAATAGATGAATGGCAACTTAAAAAAAATGGACAATTTATTGGACCTCAATTCTGTTACTTTCCCCTCCTCAGCACACACCTGGCCACATATATCCACATTTGTAATCAAATAAAGGTGGAAAGTCAAACCATGTTCAAGTCCCTTTGATTAGAGAAATAGTTTAAAAGCATAAATGAAGACATGGACCTCAGGTCTATTCTTTTTTGTTACTTGTGGTGTAGTAATAGAGAATTTAAGTGGCTAACTCTGCTATTAAAATGCATTTTTGTTATCGTGAACAAAAATGAGTTCGAGAGAGGACCTTAGGTATTATACATGAAGACTTGAGGGTGTTTTTAATGACAAGTACACTCAGGCAAATGTTTCCACAGGCTTAATACCCCTATATGAAATGCTTTGTTGGCAGAAGTCTTTGACTGTCTATACATTCATAACTGATTCAGACAGAAGCAATACACTCATTGTGTTCAATGAATGAATTCATCTCAAATATTTCTCTGCAATAGATTATTATGTCATACAGAAGAACTGTGGAGTATGCTTCTTCCTCGTAGAACACCTTCAACCCTCTTTTTCTTCCCATTATAGGGCTGTTAGTGAAGATTATCTTCTTTGAAAGATAATTTTTTCTTTCTTGCTACTTACCAGAATAATGAAATGCTATACAAAAACTAGGTGAACTTGTATGAGGACAGTGGAATTCCCATTAGTATCACTGATTTAGAGAGGCTTTTATTCTATTTTAAATTGTCAAATATTTTTCAAGGGCATAGAAGACATATTATGAAAAATTCTTTGACTTGCACAATTAACTTTAAAGTAAAAGATCATTGATATAGTAGAAATAAACAATAGCAAGTCTCCATCTTGGATCAAAAAAATACTTGTTGCTAATAATATTCGCTCTGATTGCATCTGTATTTGATTATTCCAATTTGTTAAACAAGAATAACAATATGCAAATAAACCCAGAATAATAAAGAGACATTAATTCAGTTTAGAGTTCAAGCTGATATTGCAACCTTTCCACTCTGCATAGGGCTTTGCTAATATCTTACATAGAACACAAACTAGGCCAGTGCCTAGGAGTGTCCTGAAATGAAAAAGACATTTTGGAGCAGGGTGGACATGTTATTAGGTAGGGCCTTGAAGAGAGCTCCTATTTACAAATGATTTCTTCAGTGATCTGAAATTTAATGCCATTGATAATCTTCTTACTAACATTATCTAGTCTAAATCCCACAAAGCGAGAAGATGAGAGGGTAAAGTAAATGATAATTTTAGGCTTGTTTTAAAGTGAAACCTTAAGTAAGTGCTTTCTTCAGGCCTTAATTTCCTCTGTGTAATTGTTCATTTAATTGTCTACATTTGTGTTTTCCTCCAGGAATAAAAATTCCTTTTTAGTCTGTATGTCTTAATGATTTCTTTCCCAGTGTTTATTTCACTCATTGGTTGTGATTTTTTAAATATTCTTATAGGGAAGATAGAATAAATATTTTAAAAATATTATGTCACTTGGCAAACTTCTTGAAATTATGCCTGGAACTCGTGGCAAGACCAATAAAGGATTAAAGAACCCATTGTATTAGAATTTAGAACCTTTTCTATAGCAGACATATAATTTGGCTAATGTATTTTAAAAAACCAACCCCAGACTTCATTTTATGTAATCAGTACCATTTGCTAATAGCTTGAGCAGTTTGAGTTCCCTCAAACTCCCTGATTGCTTAACAATGTGTTGTGACACTTTTATTGCTTCCAGAAACTTCCAATTAAGTGAAGAAGACCACTGGATTTACCAGGCTGTTTTGGATCAGTATCCTGGAGATCTCTGTGGCAGAAGAACTCTGTATCTGAACATGTTACAAAGATATTTTCCTCACAAATCCAGGCATGATTTGGTGAGTCCTGGACCCTATGTAACAGCACGTTAAATTGCTTTAGTGGTCAATAATTACTAGGCAAAATTTATATTTTTAGGATGGTGCTCTAAAAATTATTTTTTTCCTACACTCTAGCAAATAATAGGATCATAGGTTGAAAGTCTCTAATTTTTCAAGTCATATGGTCCATAAGAAGGTGGAGAACCACTCAAGCAACATTTATTCTTCTATGCTTACTTGCCCCAGAGATCTTTACTGTGACTTCCTGGGTTGCTCTGCCAGTATTTGACCTCTGGGTGTCTGGGCATTCACCTGCCCACCCTCAGAGGTTCTAAAGTCTCTAGCTCTTGCCTGCAAGTGGGGTGCCTGTTCATCTATCTGCAGAGCCTGCCACACCCAGCCCTTCTAGTCATGGGGAAGCCAGCACTTGCCATGGGGGCTGGTGCCTACCTATATCATCCCCACAACAACTCCACTTGATCCCCCTAGATGGGTCTGAAACACAAATGCCCCAAATTAGAACTCAGAGTCATGACTGAAATTTCCCTGAGAAGGACCTGGGAAACTATTGTTTCACTCTTTAGTTCGTAAGGCCAAAAAGACAAGAAAACAGAAGTTACCATGTCACCAATTAACTTTACAATGACTCACCTTAAAACATATATGTAGACAAACACATGTGAACTCTTAACTTTAAATGGGACAGGCTATAAAATATCATCATATACTCTGCATTTTTGTAATTATTTTAAATTAAGCAAGTAACCAACAATACCGACATGTGTATAGAATTTACCTTATGTCCGTCATGTGTAAACTCCTATAACACGCATAACAGTGGATGAAAGAGTACTATTTTTATTCTGTTTTACAGATAAAGAAACTGAAGCAAAGGTCACACATCTAGTACGACCATCCTCTCTTATCCCCCAGTCCCCCACCCAACAATTACTTGTTTTAATTTTGATCTTTATTTTATAGCAGATACCTGTTATGTAAAAAACATGCTATATAATAAATAATTTGCTCTAGATTTTTTAAGTTTTAATTTATTAAATTAGATCTTTCTTTTTATTCCCTGTTGATTCTCTTTGTTTCTGTGACCAGCTATCAATTTTAATTTTGTAATTTTTTGTATTTACCTATTAACAGGATAAAGATTTTTATACTCACTTCTTATATTGGGTTGATTAGTATGCATTTCTGCATGGCATATGCTTCCTTTCTTAGTGTTTGACAGATTTTAAGTATATTTTTGGCTTTTGGGGAACAAAGCTCAGAAGTTTCCAGAACATATTTTAGTAGCTGATATTTGGTTTCATTGAATCCATAGCCTGTTTCATCATGTACCTAATTAACCATACCTAGACTATTATTTTAGGACAACCTTATCCTGCTTGCTAGATTCTTTTCTTACACCACTTAGGGGTTAAATAAGGTATCAAATTCAGAGATGTGGTCTATACTGGCAAGATAAAGAATTATGTAGGTCACTGGCTCTCAATTTCAGGAGACACAAGTTTATATAAGGAGCATTTCAGAATCACCTGCAAAGATTTTTCAAATGACTCAGGCAATCTCCATTCCTGTTCTTCCCCTCAAGACTCTGAGATCTCTTGTGGTTGGGATTCACTGCCAACAGGAACTACCAGTACCCATGTGAGAATATCATGTCCATCAGGACAATAGGATGGGAAGAACTAATATCACTGCTGTAATTTCTTCAAGTTTAGACATCCTAACAACTGAATATTTCAGTAACCAAGGACAAACTGAGTTTTGGGGATTATGATAGCAATTTATGTTTATTAGCATGTATCTAAGTGAAGCACTTGAAGTAATTGTTAAAATACCCAAACTAATTTAAAGATGGAGTACCTTTGAAATTATATACAGGGGTAGTAATTCTTTCTGTGAATAGATTCACTGCCATGTATACATGGAAGGTGTTTTAGGGCCACCTAATCAGACTCCGTCCCATAGAGGAAACTAAGGACTTAGAAATATTAAACAACTGGTCCTTAGTCACCGGTTAGCCACAGGCTCGGAACTCTGGGACTGGTACCTGGTCCTGGTTGCTGCATTCACTATTAAGCTGTTTGTCCCCAATTTTTCAAAATTATTGGTTATAATTCATTTTATTCATTTTTGTAACAACGCCATAAAGTATAGGCTCAGTTTCATAATAAGTGTTTGCCATCTGTTATCTTTTCAGGTGGAACATGAGAAATATTGTGATCAATATCACTTTGCTAGGGAGCAGCGAAGGATCCTGATATCAAATTGGAATAAGAACAGGAGAGACTTTATCCAGAAGGCTGTGCTGACCCTTGCCGAGGCCTGTGCAGCACACGCAATGGAGGACACATTGGCTAAGGACAGGAGAAAGCAACAGGAACTGTGTGCTCATCTGAAAGCCAAGGTGAGATGCTCTGCTGACGGTGTTTCAGAATTTTCCCTGGCATTCATTTAAGAACCCAAACCCAACCTAAAGTTCAGTTTCTCTAAAAATTTTATTTTGGATAAAATTGTTAGTTTGAACCATATGAAATCGCAATTATTTTAGATCAACAGTAGTCAACAATCAACAATTTCATATGGTTCAAGTTTATGTCTGTTTAAGACAGGTCAGTGTTGAAGTCTGGACTGAGCGATAGCCAACACAAACTACAAATACCGCACACCAGAGAGAGGTGCTGGATGAAAATGCAGAATGTAATGATAGAGTAAAACCTGATGCCTTTATCTGGCTCAAACACTCTTGGACCTCTCATTCACATTAAAGATGTAAAAAAAGGTAAAATTCCAAAGAGGAGAGAGGATTTGTGAAGAAATATATTGGGGAGAGCTTGATGGGCAAAGTGAAAGGTGGAGTGGTTGGAGTGTTCCTCTTCCTCAGACCCACTGAGGGGGCCCCCATAACCTTGGAGGGGTTAATGGGGAACCCCTGCTGTTGGAGCTTGAGGATTGGTGTCTGATGGTCACAGGGAACTAGAGGAGCTGCCTCCATGGCAGAACTGAAAACAGAGATGGCTGCTGTGTTGGGAATAATTGCATTCCCCAGACTGGTCACTGGTGCATGCGTCCTGGAGGTCCCATGTGGATATAGCCTCCCTTGGAGTGTTGGCTGGACCATTAAACAAATTGTATCGAGGTACAGCATATCTACAGTAAAGTATACAAATCTTTATTTTTATTGTTTTTTAAAAGATTTTATTTATTTATTTGACAGAGAGAGAGAGAGAGAGAATGAGATCACAAGCAGGGAGAGCAGCAGGCAGAGGGAGAAGCAGGCTCCCCACTGAGCAGGGAGCCTGATTCGGGGCTCAATCCCAGGACCCTGAGATCTTGACCTGAGCTGAAGGCAGATGCTTAGCTGACTGAGCCACCCAGGCACCCCTACAAATCTTTACTTATTGATAAATGACATGGTAGGAGAATGATGGCACAACAAGAAGTTTTATTTTATTGGTAGGAAAAAAAATAACCTGCAATTAATAGTTATACCACAGCAATTAACAGCATGTAAAAAGAAATGTCTCTTTTAAAACATTAGAGGAAAAATGCCTGCTTTGCATTTTTTTAAACAAAAAGATATTATATTGGGCATTGCATAAGCTTGGGACCTAGAAGGAATAGAAATTGCATCAAGCCTGAACTACCTATGGTGGGCTACAGAGCTAATGCACATTTCATGAATTTCAAGCAGAGTCCCCACTGAGTACAGAGCCCGGATGGGCTGAGGGGCTCCATCTCACGACCTTGAGATCACAACCTGAGGCAAAACCAAGAGCTGGCCACACATGTAGGGCTTTTTTTATTTCTTAGACCTGTGTAACATAAGAATATTCCTCTGCTCACCTCCCCTGACCCTGATCTTTTTTATGAGCTTTCTGTGGAGAAAAGCCTATAAGGGGTGTAAATTCCCCTCTGTCTGTAACTTTCACGGGTTCTATACTCTCTGCTCTATGACAACAGCAAATTATAAAAATTTAACTATTGACTCATTACAAAGTATTAGCTACAATCTTCTTCCCCACTTATATGGTGGCCTTGTCTTTTCCAGGTGCTCTTTCTCAAGTAAGCTACTTCCCGTATTGCCTCTCTGCTTGGAAACATCTGCCTTTCTTTAAATCTCAGGCTTATTTGCCCTGTGGCCTCAGTCCTCTGATGGATTTGAGAAAAGTTCTGATATAGCTTTTCCTTGTGCTTAATTTGGGAGGCGACATTCTTTCCAGCTTCTTACATTCTAAATGGAACCTGGAAGGTCCTCATGAAATATTATTTAACAATCTTGTATGTGCCCTGCTTAAGAAATCATTGCCTAGTAGCACAGGGTCATTTTCAAAGGCAGCCTGTCTGAGCTTTTTCTTCCCAATAGGACTCCTGCTAATGGGGAGGGGCCCCCCCAAAAAGTGGGGTGGAATAGCACTAATTGGGAACCTGATAGGTGGAAGAGAAGCAGTTAGACAAAGGAAAATGTAAATGACCCACATCAGGAGAATGTTTCCAGGAATGTTTCCCAGCTGGCAATCAAGGCAACAAAACTGGTAGGAGGGCAAGAATCAGCATTAACCACCTGCAAGGTTTACTTGGGGACAGCATCAGTCACCAGGATAATGACAACTCTGCTGGCCTCTCCTATACATCTTGTCCCCTTTCCCTCCCCCCCATGGACTCTGATGGTCTAAGCATCTAGGGAATGAAAGGAGAGGTCATCATCTGAATAAAGAAGGAAGAGTTGATTAATCTCTTGGAACTGGGCAATTTGATTTTGAATCAAGACTGTATTTTGTGACTTACAGTGACTGTAGAACCCTGTGAAACCCAAGGGTTAGCCATGGGTTCTGCTTAGTTTTCATCTAGTGGTAGGAGAAATATCTAAATGGGGGACAAGAATAATGCTGTGTTTTGATTATTTCCCATGGATCATGCTGTTCGGTGTATTGGGTATACTCTATGAAGTGTTCCCACATCTCAGGCATTCTAATAGATACTCTATAGGCATTTTATCATATTATCCTCAGTGACAAACCTGAGATGTGCAGGGGTTGCTGTAGAGTACCCACCCACAGAAATCAGGGGCTTGGTTTCTGAAAGCAATATAATATGGCATCTCCTCAGAGACCCATGGTCACAAGATGGTGAACAAGTATCTCTGAACTTTTGGAGATGAAGCCTCCAAAGAGTAAATATGAAACAGAGAATGGTGGAACATAAAGTAAATTGTGATGCAAAATGGATTCTATTTCCCATAGAGATGGTGTTATCACTGGAGTTTGTGTTCCTGATCAAGGACTGAGGCTCAATAAATTATAGCTTGAAACAAAAGTATACCATAAAGGAAAAGGAGTAATCCTATCAATTCTATAGTAATTTAAAATATTAAATTATGCTCAACTTTTTTACCTGGAAGGAAACTTGGAGATTTATCTCCATCCTTCATTTTATGAGTCTAAAAGCTGAAGTCCTGAAAGATAAAGGGACTTCCCTAAGGTTCATGCCAGCTCATTTGATTTGAAATTCAATATTATCTCGGGCCTACACAGCTTTGCATATAAGAATCTTACAAAATAATAGAAGATATTTATTATACTGGGAGCCCCAATGCACTATAAAATAGACCCACAGAATGTGAAAAATATTACTTCATTGTATCATAAATTTGACCTTTCTAAAACTAACATGCTAGCTATAATAAACATTAATTAAACGTTTAACCATAATTTTGTTCTTAGTCTTGGAATTTAAGAAGGCTTTTGGGGGATGATTTACATCATTCATGCCTTTTAAGAAAAGTGTTAAAGGAATTTTGAAATAATGAATTTCCTCACTCTCTTTCTCTCCTTCTCTATTTAATTTTGGCTTTCTATCAGTAACCAAAGCTGTAGCAAGTAGAGGACTCTCACCAGAGTGGTGAGATGAAAGCAGGGAAGTAGAACTCTCATTCTGCTACCACAAAGCTCACTCTTTGATCCCCGAAAATCTCTCGGACTACCAGACCTTCCCAAGCATTCAGCCTAAACCACTCTGTTAGCTGTGCACTTGATTTTTTGGCATGCTTGTCTATACCATGGCTGGGGAACTTCATTCCCAGATCTGTCTTACAGTTGTCTTTCTCTGCATCCATGCTCAATGGCCAAGTGCTACTAAGGAAAAGTCAGCTTTCCCTGGACTCGCAATGCCACATGAGAGGCCTTAGTCCTATCCTTAGTTCACCAATTCTCCCCATTCCTCTTATGATTGTTTCAAAAGGTCACCAGTTCTTTCAATACCCTTAACCTAATGCCATACACCATCCCCCTCCAGCCCCCAGGAGACAACCCACCTCTATTTTATCAATAAAATGAAGTCATGGAGTTGTGAGATAGATCCCTAATTCCTGCCCCACCCTATGTCTTTATGTCTCCTGCTAGTCCCCCCACTTTCTTCCTGATGCAAGATTCAATGCCTTCTATGTGCTCATATCCAGTCCTTCCCCCAGCGTTTGGGACTCTAACCCATTTAACCACTTTAGGAACTTGGTTCTGATTATCTCCTTTTATTACTATTTTTCTTTCTTATCCCAGGATTTCTCCCAGCCTATAAATATGGTTAAGTCTTTCTTATTCAAATCAAACCTTCTCTTAGAGTGCCTGGGTGGCTCAGTCAGTTAAGCATCTGCCTTCGGCTCAGGTCATGATCCCAGGGTCCTGGGATCAAGTCCTGCATCAGGCTTCCTGCTCAGCAGGGAGTCTGCTTCTCCCTCTCCTATACCCCTCCTCCCTGCTTGTGTTTTCTCTCTCTCTCATGCTCTCTCTCTAAAATACATAAAGTATTAAAAAAAAAAACAAACCCTTCTCTTGACTCTAGCTCTTGGGCAGTCCCTAATCTCTGTCCTTTTCTTTGAAATCAACCATTTGAAAGAATAATCTATATTTTCTCAGGACTTCTGACCTTTCTACTCTACCAATATCCTCTCCTGTCTCCAAGGTCACCAGTGACCTCTCAATTACCTAATCCGGTCAGTGCTCCTCCATCCTTATGCTAGTAGACCTCCCTGCTTCATTTCTCATTGTTGGCCATGTACTCTTTGTTCTAAAATATTATTTCAGCTTCTAAAATAGTATTCTGTTTGCCGTATCTTAGTCTGCCTGTGTATTTGTCATTGTCTGCATAATCCTAAAACCCTGGTATCCTCAAGTTTTCTGTCCTTGCTCTTTGCTCTTCTCTCACTACTTCACTGGCTCCTAACCCCACTTATGTTTTTACCTATCTTTATACAATAATTACTCTCAAATCTTTTTTCCCATCCCTGAGTAGCTCTCTCTTGAACCTCATTTATCCATCTACATACTGATTATATCAACTTAAAAGTCTACAGATTCCTCAAAGTCAGTGTCCAAAATGGGAATTTTTGTTTCCCTCCAGTAAATTTTCACT